CAGCATGATGGAGTCGGCCCAGCCACCTTGTCTTCTCTCCAGTGGCTGAGAGGACTTCAGGGAGAAAGATCAGCCCGTACTTCTCCCTAGCGGCGTGTATGTTCTACGAGAGAGGAAGAGGTTGGCTGGGAGTAATGCTATGTTTGGGACAATTTGTTGGGGAACTGTGTGGGTGCTGGCATTTGGGGACTGGAAGCACAGACTAACTTCAGTCCACCCGCCTGGCGTTTCCTCCTGCGTTAGTCTCCTGCTGAAAGGGGAGATATGTGACGGGAGTCACTTTGGGTGGGGGGCCCATGGAACACAGCTCACTTTGGAGAGGTGGGGAGACCCCTGTCTCAGCTCCACATATCCCTATTATTTGTAAGTCACCCTGTGCCTGTTAGTGGTACAGGTACAGGGTGATCTGTCCTAATATTGGGGTGGGGTGTTGTGGATTGTTTGGTGTTATGTGGTTTCATCCCATTGTTCTATTGTTTGTCTTGCTTGGGAGCAAACTATTATAGGATGTATGTGTTTATGTGTATTAGCTTAGTGGGCGGTTGTCTCCGGCAGCCCTCCCTCCTGATGGGACTTTCTGCTGGAGTGAAGTTTGAATACCTGTGTGTCTCTTGTTAATAAATGTAGATTGCCCCTCCCTGTGACATTATGCAGGGAGGGGGGATTTGTCCCTTGAGTGTATATATCTTGTATATGTGTTCAAATAAACTAGTCTACTTTCTGGCTTACTTCAAATCTGTGGTGTCTGTGGTCGGTGTTCAGACAGGGAAGCGGCACAGGCTGGGGTCAGTTCCGTTACAGAGTTTAAAGAGTGGTACAGCAGAGACTGGCAGTTGTTCAGGACATGCCACTGCCACCTCCTGATGCCAGTTTTGTTCAGCGATTTTTTTACATTGCCACAACTGTGAAACAAGTGTTTAACTCATAGCCCAAGTTAAAATTGATGCTGGTGTGAAGCAAAGCATCGCAACCATGCCATATGTACAGCCCTGTCAGGCTGTAATGTTAGTAATCTGGTAGGTGGCTAAACCTCAGCTCACCCACCAGTGTGAAAAAGCCCAAACGTTCTTTTAACATTTGCTGCTTCTCAATTAAATCATTACCCATGATTATGGTTGAGCCAAACATACCTGGGTTTGGTTCAAGGCAGGTTCGATGAACTTTACAAAAGTTCAGAAGCTGAACCTGAATTACATTGAAGTCAGAGGGAACTGAGTGCTAAAAATCAGTTCTGGACATTTTCTAAGCTAATACTTTTTTTTTAATCTTGCCCCTTGTAAGTAACTTTTTAATTTAAAATAGGCAATCATTTTGAATACTTTATACTTCCAAGTAACCTAGTAATTATCTTATTTGTGAGCATGCATTATGATATTTAACCTGAAACTAAGGCTGTGAAGAAAAACCTTTTACTTTCTGTATCCTTATATACTGTAATTATATCATAAATGATTTTCACTTCACATTCACTTTTGAGGTTCATGGGGATGGCTCACCTATTTGTACAAGAAGTAGGCAGTATATAAATGTATAATATTGTTGAAACACTACCTCTGAATATAGGCTAAACATTACAAGGGATCTGCTTCTTGTTTACTTGCAACAAATACTGCCAAAAGGCAAGGAAATACTACAATACCCTTTTGGCTATGTATTTGAAAAAACTCTAAAAAAAAAAAAAAAAAGGAATGAATGAATGTATGTGATTATTATACAGGCAGTCCCCGAGTTAAGTACATTCGGCTTACGTAATACTCATACTTACGTACACTTCCCTCGGGACCGGAAGTCAAGCTGTCAGCATTCTTGTGCAGCAAGCTGATAAGAGACTAGCTGATAAGAGACATCAGAGAGACATAAGAGACAGAGACATCCATTGCTCGTTACTTGTGGGGCTAGCAGTGTCTGCCCACTATCTCCAAAGTGATTTAAGACTGTCTGTCTGCACCTCCGGGGAGAGGAAAGGAGAGGCTGTCAGGCTGCTCACTGAAGTGATCCTCCGTCTGTGCAGGGGGGAGGGGGCAGCGTGTGCTGTGTAAAGGAGAGCAGAGTTCTCTCATACAGTACATTACAGTACAGTGTATTTTTACATTTGGATGTCGGAGACACTGTTGCTGCCCAATCCTCTCCAACATGCCATCCTCTGCCAAGATAGTTTAAAGTTGTACTCTACACTGTACAAGAGTTTACAGTATAATATTTGAATGTTGAATTTGATGTTTAAACATTTACATGCACATAAAAGTTAAATATGTTAAGGCAAACATGTGTCCAAGCTGCAGTTCTTATGCAAAACACCAGTTTAGAGCCTCTTGAGGTTTTACTGCTTTCTGTAACCTTATTACAAAAACGTAATCTAATATCCTGTCGTTTGGTTAGTAGTTAGTGCTTATAAAAGTGCCTGATTCAACTTATGAACAAATTCGACTTATGAACAAACCTACAGTCCCTATCTTGTACGTAACCGGGGACTGCCTGTACTCTGTTGGGCATTAGGGAGATTAATGTTAACGTTAAAGTATATCTCCACTTTTGTTGAGAAAAAAACAATCCTCTCTGGATGAGGGACCTTTGAGAAACATTGTAGCAGATTCCTATCTTTAAAATCTGATTGTTTCTTTATGTCCTTTAAAGTGGTACTAAACTCTCTCATTCATCATGAAACATTTTTGACCACATGCTGTTAGCATTAGTGAATAAATATTATATTATATTTGCTTGTTTTACTCATTTGACCTCCAGGAGGTTTTACCCCCTTCATGACCAGGGCATTTTTTGCTGTTCAACACTACAGTAATTTAACTGGCAATTGCTCAGTCGTGCAACACTGTACCCAAATGAAATTTATATTATTTTTTTCAAACAAATAGAGCTTTTTTTGGTGGTATTTAATCACTACTTGGTTTTTACATTTTTTATTATATAAATGAGAAAAGACTGAAAAAAATGTTTTCATTTCTATTATAAATATAGCCAATTAGAAAAAAAAATTTTTTTCTTTATAAATTTAGGCCAAAATGTATTCTGTCACATGTCTTTGTAAAAAAAAGACATTAATTGGTTTGTGTGAAAGTTACAGCATCTACAGACTGTTATACAGTTGTGTTCAAAATAATAGCAGTGTGTGTTGAAAAAAGTGAATAAAGCTCAAAATCCTTCTAATAGCTTTTGTTTCCATACAATAGCAGTGTTTGTATTCTTCTTTACAAACTCAAATATTCACTATATAAACTGAAAAATGTTTGAAGATTTTGCTTTCCTTTGAATCACTTAATTAATATGTAATTGTATAAGCACTGTTTCTGAGAACTGCTGTACATCTGTGTTGCATGGAGTCAACCAACTTCTGGCACCTGTGAACAGGTATTCCAGCCCAGGATGATTGGACTACTGTCAGGATGGACTGGCCAGCAATGGTGGGTATCACCTGCCTTATGAGCTGCAGTACCAGGGCTGGCCAGCGGGTGCTCCCAGCAATCAGAGACTCAACCTTGCAGCCAGCAAAACACCTGAAAACTGCTTATGCTGGTGTATTTAAGGGATGGCCAGACCTGCAGACTCTGCCTTGGTGTATGTGTTTTCCTGGGCCCTGTATCTTGCATCCTGTTCCTGTATCCTGTCCCTGTCCTGTCGCTGACCCTGCCTGATCTGATCTCTGCTGACTTCTCCTGCTCTGACCCCGGCTCGTTCCTGACCATCCCTCTGCCTGACCCTCTGTACCTCGCTGTCTGCTACCTGTTGAACCTGGCTTGTGACCCCGACCATTCTCCGCTTGCTCCCCCTGTACCTACCTGCCCGATTGATATTTGACCCGGCCTGCCTGACGACGCTTGCATTGTATGTACTGTTATCTGTGGGTGGTTGGTTTGGGTTGTTTGCACTGTGTTATGTTTTAGTATTGCACTGCGTTTATGTTTGTATTGTTAGTGTTAATAAATTATATTGTTTATAATATATCTGAAGTCTGCGTTTCCCTGCATCAGTCACACACCTCTGGTCATACCCGGGAGCCCTGACATTACACCCAAGGCCAATCCTGACCAGAAGTGGCTGCACAGGGAAGCCATCTTGGTTTGTTGATGGGAAGGATGGATCTGGATGAGGTTGCGTATTTATATCTGCTAGTGTTTGATGACAGGGAGTATGCTTATCAAACTCTGAAGGAGTATACCCGGGATGAGCTGCTAGAATGTATACGGCTCGCTCATGTTCTAGTAGATCAGGGCACAGAGTTCTCTGAGGTGCAGCCATTGATTGAGGTTTGTGCTGAGTTGGTTTCATCTGGTACCCCCGAATGCAGGGATGAATTTTTGCCACCATTTAGTGCAGACCAGGTAGAGTCCCTGGTGTGGTTATTAGAGGATGATGTGGGTTACTTTCTGGAGCGTTATTCCACATGTTCACCACAGGTACTCAGAGATTGTATAAACGCAGTGCACTCTTTGGTCAGACAGGCTTTGTGTAAGCTCAGCTTTGTTCAACCCATACTGCAGGACATGGACAGATTTGTTGCACCCCCAGCCTCAGTCAGCTTACAAAGACCCAGTCCTGCTTCTAATCTATTTCCTCAAAGCTCTACTCCTGTATTCCCAACAGCTCCTCCAGTTACAGCCCAGTATACTTGGCTATCTACCGCATGTCAGTACCCTGTTCCCACTCGCTGCACCTATCCTGCCTTTAACCCTGTAAAAAAGCCCTCTGTAGCAACTGCTCCCTCCTCTGTCCCATCCTCCAGCTCTTCTCTGTCTCCAGCTGCTCCATTCGTTTGCAGACCTGCGTTTACTTGCAGTGCTCCAGTAGTTAAAACCAGAAAAAAAGCGAAAATTCTTTTCCAACCAGTACCATCCTGCCAGTATCCAAACCGGTGAACCTGCCTTCCGTGGTTCATACTAAGCAAAATGGTAGTGTGACAAGAACACCCCTACCTGGAAAAAGAAGGTTACTAAGTGATCCACGCGGAGTAATATGAATTCAAAAATATTCCAAACAATATCCGTGGTTCAGCCTGAAGCCTCTACTCGGCCTGAAGCCTCTACTCGGCCTGAAGCCTCTACTCGGCCTGAAGCCTTACTTACTCGGCCTGAAGCCTCTACTCGGCCTGAAGCCTCTACTCAGCCTGATGCCTCTATTCCGCCTGATGCCTCTATTCGGCCTGAAGCCTCTACTCGGCCTGATGCCTCTACTCGGCCTGATGCCTGTACTCGGCCTGATGCCTGTACTCGGCCTGATGCCTGTACTCGGCCTGATGCCTGTACTCAGCCTGATGCCTGTACGCAGCCTGATGCCTCTCTTCAGCCTGAAGCCTCTCTTCAGCCTGAAGCCTCTCTTCAGCCTGAAGCCTCTACTCAGCTTGATGCCTCTACTCAGCCTGATGCCTCTACTCAGCCTGATGCCTCTACTCAGCCTGATGCCTCTACTCAGCCTGAAGCCCTACTCAGCCTGAAGCCCCTACTCAGCCTGAACCCCTACTCAGCCTGAAGCCTCTACTCAGCCTGAAGCCTCTACTCAGCCTGAAGCCTCTACTCAGCCTGATGCCTCTACTCAGCCTGAAGCCTCTACTCAGGAAGCCTCTACTCAGCCTGATGCCTCTACTCAGCCTGATGCCTCTACTCAGCCTGATGCCTCTACTCAGCCTGATGCCTCTACTCAGCCTGATGCCTCTACTCAGCCTGATGCCTTTACTCATCCGGATGCCTGCATTCAGCCTGATGCCTCTACCCAGCATGATGAACTGATCCAGCCTGACGATCCTATTAGGCCTGGTGACCCGATGCCCGCTGTCGAGCCAGACAATCCGGTACCTGATGGCCCCGGCGCCCGGCGCTCCGCCTGGGGGCCGATGCCTGTCGCTCCCGCCTGGGGGCCGATGCCTGTCGCCCCGCCTGGGGGCCCGATGCCTGTCGCCCCGCCTGGGGGCCCGATGCCTGTCGCGCCCCGCCTGGGGGCCCGATGCCTGTCGCCCCGCCTGGGGGCCCGATGCTTGTCGCCCCGCCCTGGGGGCCCGGCGCCCGCCGCACCGCCTGGGGGCCCGATGCCTGTCGCCCCGCCTGGGGCCCGATGCCTGTCGCCCCTCCTGGGGGCCCGGCGCCCGCCGCTCCGCCTGGGGGCCTGATGCCTGTCGCCCCGCCTGGTGGCCCGGTGCCTGCTGCTCCGCCTGGTGGCCCGGTGCCTGCTGCTCCGCCTGGGGGCCCGATGTGCCTGCTGCTCGGAGTCCTGCCCGATGTGCCTCTGCCTGGGGTCCCGGGGGCCGCTGCTGCCTCTGCCCGGTGCCTGCCCGCCTGGTGGCCCGCTGCCTGCTCCGCCACCTGGTGGCCCGCTGTGCCTGCTGCTCTCCCCAGGTGTCCCCCGATGTGCCTCTGCCCCTGTCCAGCCCGGTGTGCCTCTGCCCGGTGGCCCGCCCGCTGCTGCGTCGCCTGGTGGTCCGCCCGCTGTGCCTCTGCCCGGAGTCCAGCCCGATGTGCGTCTGCCCAGAGTCCAGCCCGATGTGCGTCTGCCCAGAGTCCAGCCCGATGTGCCTCTGCCCAGAGTCCAGCCCGATGTGCCTCTGCCCGGAGTCCAGCCCGATGTGCCTCTGCCCGGAGTCCAGCCCGATGTGCCTCTGCCCGGAGTCCAGCCCGATGTGCCTCTGCCCGGAGTCCTGCCCGATGTGCCTCTGCCCGGAGTCCTGCCCGGTGTGCCTCTTCCCGGTGTGCCGCTGCCCGATGTGCCGCTGCCCGGAGTCCTGCCCGGTGTGCCGCTGCCCGGAGTCCTGCCCGGTGGGCCAGTCTTTGATATCCCGCCAGTTACCAGACCCGGGCGGTGGAACATTTTGCCCAGCTAGGACTGTTTGGAGCGTCGTCTGAGGCCGCTCCTTGAGGGGGGGGTACTGTCAGGAATGGACTGGCCAGCAATGGTGGGTATCACCTGCCTTATGAGCTGCAGTACCAGGGCTGGACAGCGGGTGCTCCCAGCAATCAGAGACTCAACCTTGCAGCCAGCAAAACACCTGAAACTGCTTATGCTGGTGTATTTAAGGGATGGCCAGACCTGCAGACTCTGCCTTGGTGTATGTGTTTTCCTGGGCCCTGTATCTTGCATCCTGTTCCTGTTCCTGCATCCTGTCCCTGTCCCTGTTCCTGTTCCTGTCGCTGACCCTGCCTGATCTGATCTCTGCTGACTTCTCCTGCTCTGACCCCGGCTCGTTCCTTACCATCCCTCTGCCTGACCCTCTGTACCTCGCTGTCTGCTACCTGTTGACCCTGGCTTGTGACCCCGACCATTCTCCGCTTGCTCCCCCTGTACCTACCTGCCCGATTGATATTTGACCCGGCCTGCCTGACGACGCTTGCATTGTATGTACTGTTATCTGTGGGTGGTTGGTTTGGGTTGTTTGCACTGTGTTATGTTTTAGTATTTATAATAAATAAATGGTGCAGCGCTAAAAACTAGAGTACAGTTTATACACACAATATATATATAAACATGCATGATATCACTCTGAGGGTGATCAATAAATACAAAAGTTCAGTGTAATAGTGCGGATCATGGAGAGATCCCAATTCAAGGTGAGTGGACGTCCTGATCCAAGGTGTGATGGTAGGTGTGATCACACAAATAGGTGAAAAACGCACTCACCAGATGTGCGTTTAATATACGCGATATGTGAGTGCGTTTTTCACCTATTTGTGTGATCACACCTACCATCACACCTTGGATCAGGACGTCCACTCACCTTGAATTGGGATCTCTCCATGATCCGCACTATTACACTGAACTTTTGTATTTATTGATCACCCTCAGAGTGATATCATGCATGTTTATATATATTGTGTGTATAAACTGTACTCTAGTTTTTAGCGCTGCACCATTTATTTATTATATATGTTTGTTTTGGAGGTTTTACTTGGTTACCTTTTCGGTGTATCAGCTGCTCACTAACGGTTTTGTGTATACACATTGATACACTTTTTGCATTTAAGTCGCGCTCACTTTAACATCTTTTATTACAATTATGTTTTAGTATTGCACTGCGTTTATGTTTGTATTGTTAGTGTTAATAAATTATATTGTTTATAATATATCTGAAGTCTGCGTTTCCCTGCATCAGTCACACACCTCTGGTCATACCCGGGAGCCTTGACAACTACATTCCACAGTTCTTCTCTATTTCTTGGTTTTGCCTCAGAAACTGCACTTTTGATGTCACCCCACAAGTTTTCTATTGGATTAAGATCTAGGGACTGGGCTGGCCACTCCATAACGTCAATCTTGTTGGTCTGGAACCAAGATGTTGCACGTTTACTGGTGTGTTTGGGGTCGTTGTCTTGTTGGAACACCCATTTCAAGGGCATTTCCTCTTCAGCATAAGGCAGCATGACCTCTTCAAGTATTCTGATGTATTCGAAACTGATCCATGATCCCTGATATGCGATAAATAGGCCCAACACCGTAGTAGTATGAGAAACATCCCCATATCATGATGCTTGCGCAACCATGCTTCACTATCTTCACAGTGTACTGTGGCTTGAATTCAGTGTTTGGGGGTCGTCTGACAAACTGTCTCCGGCCACTAGATCCAAAAAGAACAATCTTACTTTCATCAGTTCACAAAATGTTGCGCCATTTCTCTTTAGGCCAGTCAATGTGCTCTTTGGCAAATTGTAACCTCTCCAGCACATGTGTTTTTTTCAAAAGTGGGACTTTGCAGGGGCTTCTTGCAGATAGCTTGGCTTCACATAGGTGTCTTCTAATTGTAGCAGTACTCACAGGTAACTTTAGACCTTCTTTTATCTTCCTGGAGCTGATTGTTGGCTGAGTCCTTGCCATTTTGGCTATTCTTCTATCCATTCGAATGGTAGTTTTTTTGCTTTCTTCCACATCTTTCAGGTTTTGGTTGCCATTTTAAAGCATCTGCGATCATTTTAGCTGAGCAGCCTATCATTTTCTGCACTTCTTTATATGTTTTCCCTTCTCCAATCAACTTTTTAATCAAGGTACGCTGTTCTTCTGAACAATGTCTGGAACGACCCATTTTCCTCAGAATTTCAGAGAGAAATGCACTGTAACCAGCATGTACAACATTTGCTGCCTTCCTTCCTTAAATAAGGGCAATAATTGCCACCTGTTTTTCAAAGAATGAATGACCTCACTAATAGAACTCCACACTGCTATTATTTTGAACATGCCTCTTTCAATTAGTGAATAAATTACACAGAATCAGCAGCATGCATGTCATGACTGTTGGGTCTGTTGGATTTCTATTACTCTACTACATCTGCTAGTAAATTATTTGCCATGTAGAAATATAATTTCTACCAAAAACAGTGATTGATCAGGTTAGTGATGTCTGACTGTACACTGTACTAATGACACTGTTGGAAAGGGGTTAATATCTAGGAGCAATCAAGGGGTTAACTGTTTGCCTAACAAGTGAAATGTGTGTAGTGTGTGCTGCTTTTACTCACAGATCTGGCTGTTTATTCTCCCTACTTTTCAAGGAGAAGAAACAGCCAGATCTCTGTTCTGTTTACACAGAGTTATGTGTGTTTGTAAACACAGAACTCTGTACTGAGTGGACACAGTTTATCAGCAGATTTCAGCCGATTTCATTGGCTTAAACCTGCTGACAAACTCGTGCTGTGTCTATTCACAGTACGGGTCAGCATGGGGTACACACCCCAAACTTGGAAGAAGACCTGCAATGTACTTGCCGCCTGCGCTCAGCAAATTAACTGTTAGTGGGTCGACAAATGGTTAATCTTTTTTTCACATTTCTTCAGTTCAGTTTCCTGGTTTCTGTGTTAGGCCGATATGATGTCATACATCGTAGGAGTCAATAAGCCAATTCTATTCACATGTTTGTGAGTATATTTTATGCAGTTTTTATAATAAATGCTATATGATGCACTAGGCTGGTGTGCCCTCTGTAGTTTGTGTTTTGTCGCTTCAAGACATCCCCAGTCTCGAGAGGGCAGCAATCCTTGAAAAATGGGAACCATTTTAACACCTGTACTGGGTTATCACACTTATGCGCAGGATGTGTCCTGTTTTGTGGTGCCTCCTGCCTACATTCCAGAGCTAAGGGCAGATGGATTCCAGGAAGTAAATACTACATTAATCATCTGCCCTTACTCAAGATGGATGTGGGTAGAAATGCTAGGGGAGTGTCTTTCAAAATAAAGTATTGCCACATGGATGGACGGTTGAGTTTGTTTTGAGCATTAAAAATTAATCAAATAACCTTTTCAATTTGTGGTGCTTTAAAGACTGGTTCCTGAATAGAAGGGTCTGGTTCATTACCACATCTAGTCTGGTCACTGTGTATATATATATAGTCAGGAGGGATTGGCTTTTAGGAAGAGGGACTGCTGTAGGTGAAGATACACAATGCTATATTCACTGACTACTTGTACAGAGGTGACCATTACAGCACATTTTTTTATACAGTGTTAAAATACATTTTCATTTTCTTTTCACATATTGCAAAAATGTGGCAAACAGTGACATTTTCAAAGACTCATTATGCCTCTTAGAAAATACTTTGGGGTGTTTACCTTCCAAAATGTAGTCTTTTTGTGGGTATTTCCACTATTCTGGTGCTCCAAGGCCTCCAAAAATGTGATAGGTAGTCAGGAAATTAGATGTATAGTTTATGCCCAGAGAACACTTGATTGTCCTCCTTGGATTTTGGACCTCTCTGTGTGGCTAGGCTGTGAAAAAGTCTCATACAAGTGGTACTCGAGAGGAGTAGCAGAATGTATTTTGAGGTGTAATTGTAAATACTGTATGCCTATGCTGTGTGTGAGAATTAACCTGTTAAAATAGCAATTCCGTGAAAAAAAGTATTTACTTTCATAATTTTCCAA